CATGTTCGGTACCTGGCCTACAACAGCAATCATGATTGGGAAGTGGAAGCGTGCTCAGCACTTTCAACTTTACAGAGCTGGTAACTCCAGGCTGGAGACTTGCTGAGGCTCGACACCAAGCATGATGACTGGTGTAATACTTTCGCTGCTGCAGGAGGTTCTCGATGGCGGTGTGACGCCAAGCTGTGCGGCGGCTGGCTGCAAGGAAAATGGGCACTTCATGACGTTCAGCACAGGAGATGATTGTGCTAAGGCGATTGCACACGTGTGTTGTGCGCTCGACACCGGCAAACTGCCGTGCGTCAGCAAAGTCCACCCACAAGGCTGAAAACTCCCTGCGGCGGATTCGGCTCAACGAGTCATCAAAGCCATCTCTCAGCAACTCAAGAGGTCTCATCTTGATGGGCTGCCACCCATGATTGAGGAAGGCTGACACTGTGGAGTGATAGATGGTAATCAGCAGCACTTTCTTAAAAAGGCTCAGACATGTCGACCTAGGAGATGCTCGTGTGGACACATGGCTCGCTACAGATGCCACGTGCTGTGATTCAGCTGTTGCTGCATGGACCTGATCAGAGGAGACTGGCTGTGAATCTTGCGACGGGGCTACCAAGAGGACCTGATCAGAGGAGACTGGCTGTGAATCTTGCGACGGGGCTGTGCATACTGCAGCTACTGCTTGAGGGTTTTCAGCATAGGCCGGATTTGGAAGGGGAAACTCAAGCGAGTGCAAAGTGTCACGTTGCTCTGGATCCACCTTGTAGTGGCTGCCGATGCTGTAGGCTGCAAGTGTGATGCGATTCCCCGACTTCCAAGGCTCAACGCAGTGCTTCGCCTTGGGACTGAACCAGACTGGTTGGCCTGCTCGCAGCTTGATTACCTGGCCGGCTATCTGCTGATCACTGTGACTGTGCACCGCAATGGGGTGATGCACAGTATCTCCTTGGCACAGTTCCACCCACAGGTCGCCACCGTGCCGTGGCACTTGGACTGGCAGCACAATGTTCTGTCCACAGTTGTACTTATCAATGTGTACAGGTGCTTGCACATTTACGTTAAGCATCAAAGAAGTGAAAGTGCTGTGAGGGCATTTGGTCCGAATCATGGTGGCAAGCATCTTAGCGAACTGGGGCCGCGCACACGTGACGGTAGTCAAACCATGCATGCCACCTCGCATATACATGCCCAAGCACAATGAGAATCCCTGACACTCCTTAAAGCGCTCTGAGCTGACAAAGGCCGATTCATTAGCACACCAGCTCAGGGCGAGCTTGACAAGAAGATTGGCAGCCTCCTCGTATGTGAATGCGGCCAAGACGTCGGCGCATTGCTGCTCCTCGATAGACACATTTTCTGAGGAGAGCTCGCTCAAGTGGGCCTGATCCGAGGAGACTGGTTGTGAATCTTGCTGCGATGGGGCTTGTGCGTCAGCGGTCCCGCCATTGTGCGAGTTGTCAGTGAACAAGTGGTGCTCACCTTGGATGGCTTGGGGGGACACCTTGTCAAACTCTGAGCACGGAAGAAGTAAATGACCTGACAAAGCAGACTCCAGCTGAAACGTTTCAGATCCTGGAGGCAACTTGAGAATCGGCTGGCCTTCACCCAGAAAATGTAGCTGCTTTGTCCCCAAGTCAAGGATGGCCCTGTTTTCAGTCAGAGCTCGCAGTCCCAACAAAGCCGGACAAGCGCTTTGCTGCACAATAGGGCTGGTGAAGGAACCTGTAGCAGCAGAGCCATCCAAACGCGAGATGGCAATTGGCAACTTGCAGTCGTTTTGGCAAACTTGAGCACCCTTGCCTACGCCTCCAACCTGAAGTGGTGATGCACGCGGGACAATCTGAGGCGCACGGGCGATGTGTGATGAGGACTCCTTCAACCACAACTCGCCCACTAAGTTCCCGTACGAACCTGGGTCCACAAGCAAACCAATCCTGCCATCTGGGAGCCGCACATTGCTGTGGTAAGCAGCGGCCATGGGTGGCCCGGAGGAGCTGGAGGAACTTCCGGCATCTCCGCTCCGATTGGTTGGCGGTTCGGGCACAGGCCACCACGGAAATGCTGATGTGTCGGCTTCCGGGGTCATGAACTCTGGAGAGCTGTCACGGCCAACAGGCGTTGTGATGTATGCCTGATCATGATCCATTGGCACCTGCAGGCCTGCTGACTGGTTCTCGGGCCCAGCGCGAGGCTCAACCTCAGCAGCTGTGTCAGCTGTGGCAGGTGAGTCTGAAGGATCTGAAGCGAAACGGGGATAATGCCATGATCTTCGCACCTGAGTTTGCGCCCGACAATTCGGACAGTCCACCACGACGCCTTCCTGGTTTTCTGGCGCTGTGCTGTGGAGAAGCATTTCACCAAGACAGAGGCAATGAAACACATGCCCACACTCAAGCCTAGCCACATGATCTCCAGGCTCGAACTGAGAGAGACACAGTGTGCAAGTGGCAACGTGGCCAGCGTATGACTGGCGAGTCGGACTCTCAGGGATGGTTTGTGCAATCACCCGCGATGCTGCAGAAGAAGTCTGAGCATTGGCTTGGCGGAAGGCATGCACCTGGCTGAAGATGCTCACTGAGGCGGGGGTTGTCGCAGGCATTGTGGCTCTGGCAGGAGCAGACTGTGCTACACTGCCGGTTGGAAGCATGGGGTTGCTCGCCAAAACGTTTTGCGCTGGGGCGCTCACTTGCCGTGAGAATACAGAGGGCATTTGCAGTGACGTAGGCAGCCTACCAGAGTCTGAATGTCTGCGTTGACCCTGCATCTGCTGGGCCTGTGCAATGCCCTGCTGGGTGTTGCTAAACCATGTGGGCAAAGCTTGGGGTGTTGGCTCACGACGATATTCCGCAGGAAGTGGCGGCGGTTCGCGGCTCACAAACCCAAGAACCTCACTGAAGGATTGCGAAACGCCAACATTGCCAATGCCCGGAATTGTCCATGTAGATCTGGTCTCAGACTGCACTGCCTGCTGTGCCTGTGCCGAAGGCTGCGCATACAAGGGATCTTCCTGGTACCATTGCATCCACGGGTCCTGCTCTGTCTGCCAAGGATCGGGTGACATGTGATGCACAGATGGGGGCGCACTGGGTCTAAGGTTTCTTGCGGGTTCGGGTTCAGGTGGATCTACTACAGAACCGCCCCTAGAAGCCGCAGCAGAAACCGTGCTGCGCGGTGTCAACACGTTAGCCCACGATCCATCTGACTCAAAGGCGGCAAAGTGCAGACCTGAGCTTTGGACAGGAAAGGAAGGGCCGGATGGCTGAGGCTGTGAGCCTGCAGCAGACGCATTTGCTGGATTGTCCGTACGGCGTGGGCAGCGAGCCCTCAGGTGGTATGAAGACCCACACACGCTACATCTCAATGGCTCGCCATCCCTCCCGGTCGGGTTGACCTTACGCCCAAACCCCTTCCCTGAACTCTTACCACCTTTGCCCTTGGCCCGGAAGTAAGCTGATTGCTGCAAAGCCTCTCCTATGTTCAGGAAGCTGCTTCGTTTGCCTTTGCCTTTACCTTTGCCCTTCTTGCGCAAGGTGCGCCTGAGAGCACGCACGGGTTTCCCTGTGAAACGGCGCCATCGCTTCTTCGCATGCTGATACTGGCCAAACAGATACTCATCCACCTCAGCTGGGGCCAGACCACTCAAGTCGTCAACCGGCAATGCTTCATCATTGTCCGAGCTCGTTGCAGACTCAGTGTCCGAAGCGGCAGGGTCTCGCGACATTGCAGCGTAGGCCCAATCATCCACGGCTCCTGCAGAGGCACTGTGGAATGCATCCCATTGGCTTGCTGTCTCATTGGGGTTTTCCTGCCAGTGCTCGCCCGTTGACGAACCAGTGTCTGCTTCTGCAACAAAAGCCTGGCTATAATGAGCAGACTGACGAAGGCCTGAAGCAATATTGTTTGGAAACCTTTCAACGATATGGCCCATCCGCCGGAGATGATGGCCAAGCTGTGTGAACTCCATTTCAGTCGTCGGAAGTCTGTACCCGAAGGGTTGGGTAAGAGATTGGAATTGTTCGGCAGACACACCACATGCTCTAAGAAGAAGCAACGAAGCTGTCTCTAAGGAAATGGCACCACCGCCCTCGTCTCTCGCACGCTGCCGGGTAATCTCGAATCTAGAGATCAGCGTGTCAACTGATTCCCCAGACCTTCGGCTGAAGGATAAAAGATCCTGAGCTGCTCGCAGACGATTCTCTTCATCCAGCGGGGCGAAGCGCACCTGAAGCCCATGAAGCAAAAACGACACCGGGTCCAACTGCTGCCCATTAATAATGCCACCTTGGTATACCTCGGCAGGTGTCAGAGTCCGCGCAAGCTCACGCGCGGCTCCACCTAGTTGTGATATAATAGCAGCACATTGCTGGGCAGGGTTCAAGTCGGTGCAGATCGTCCAAAGCATCAAGTCTTGCATCCAACTGCGGAACGGCATGCTTCCTTCCATGCTGGGATCCCATCGCGGCGGCAACCGCAAACTGCTGGCACCACCTTGCTGTGGTTGATGCATGAAGCACACCGTTGTAAGTGCTATACAACAAAGAAGAATAATACAAAGGATCTGAAGTCGAACAGTGCGCGCAGTTCCCATAAAGCCAAAGACCTTGTCGATAGCCGAAGAAGTTGCTGACTGTCCCTCTCCAGGAGACCCTTTCCGGCTGGGACTGACATCTTTGGCCTCACTGACGAATGCTGAAGCTCTAAGCGACGGCACATCGTCAGTGAGGCTTCCAGAAAGCCCACAAGTGGCGAAAGCCATCGCGGTGAAAAGGAACTGGCGCATCCTCGCCCTGGTCTGCAGGGCTCCGCTACCAGCTAGAAAAACAGAATGATGATAGAATGCAGAAACAAAGGGGCACTTTTAACTCTCTTTACGCGAAAGTGTCTGAACGTTCACAGCTACGGCATTGCCTTCATGGCTTTCATCGCCTTCATGGCCTGCATGGCCTGTCCTGCGACTCCGAAGGGAAACTGCAAATTGAGTACCATGGACCCTACCGAGCGTCACGTTGTGCAAGCCTGACTCCACCGTGACTGTGAGAAAAACGGTCCTGGGTTGGAGTTTCGGGGCCGTTAAAGATTTTGGGGTTTAGGGCGTAGGGTACCTCTTTCGGAACCATAACGGGAAACTTAAAAACATCTCCTAAGTGCCACTTAGTGTCTTCAATGAATAGAGAAGCCCAACGAAGCTCCAGCGACAGAGAGCGCGAAGTGAAAATATCCGCGATAGTCCCTCAGTCGGTGTGGCTAAGACAAGTTGAATCACGTTGCATCGTACCAGGGTTTAGGGTCTAGGGTTTAGGGTCTAGGGTTTAGGGTTCAAGGTTTAAGGTTTAGGGCTATTAGGGCACATTTGGGTTTAGGGTTATTAGGGTTTAGGGTTTAGGGTTTAGGGGTTTAGGGTACTAAACCCTAAACTAGCTTAAACCCTAAACCGCTCTGAAGCCTAAACCCCAAACCCCCAAAAGGTGGAACATGCAATTTATTGGTGGTCCTAATGCACGTCATCATTGCAGATCAACCAACGAGATGTAGAACAAGGGCTCATGTAGCCTCCCGAGCCACCAAAACACATTCACCACCAGCTACTCAGGTGGAAAGTATAGATCCGATTTGCTAAAAGACTTTTGGATGGGAAACGGCGTCCTCCTAGACACTGAGGTGAAACCGTTTACGATCAAAAACCTCCACCACCCTCCACCTCTGCTGAATCAAGACAACAATTTTACTCGGCATCCGGCCAGCCCTGAAGCCCATCAACTAAGCTTGGGACCCACGTTCCCTCCATGAAGACAGAGATGCACACCGCGATGATCAGCGATACAACGTAAGCCATAACCTCAATGGACAAGTAGTTCACATCATGCCCAGCAAACTCCCAGGTTCGCTGCTTGGCGCCCTCCAGTAAGGCAAACGTAAACATCACGACAAATCCTGGGTTTAGGGTTTAGGGTTTAGGGTTTAGGGTTTAGGGTTTAGGGTCCCGACATTTGGGGTGTAGGGTTGAGGGGTTATTTTGGGGATCAGGGTTCGGCGAAAGCTGATCTAAGGTCTCCCAAACCCCAAACCCGACACGGCCCGAAACCCTAAAAGCTAAGCCCTAAACCCGAAGCACTAAACCCTATATTCAGGGGTTTAGGGTTTAGGGTTTAGGGTTTAGGGACCCTAAAAGCTACTTAACAAGCACCCCAGAATCTCTCTCGTGTACCCACCCTCGGGGCGAGCCAGGCATAGAGCTTCGGCGCCCACCGGCGCAGGCCACCGTTCTCTTGCACTTCAGACGCCTCAACGGTTCAGGCTTTTTAGGGTTTAGGGTTTAGGGTTTAGAGTTTAGGGTTAGGCTTTCTTTTAGGGTTAGGGCAGGGCCAAGCTCTACTTGAGGTTGTGGGTTTAGGGTGGAGGCTGTGAGGATTTAGGAATTAGGATGTTAGGACTTAGGATGTCGGGTTTAGGATTTAGGATTTATAGGATGTGAGGACTTAGGATGCAGGGCTTTTTATGGTGTAGCTCTCAGTTTGGGTGTGGGGTCCTCCGTCTCCGACTCGCTCCCGGAAGATTCACCTTCGTCCCGGCTCCGCTCATCCTGGAAGATGCCAGACATCCCCGTCGCAACATTGGCATCGATGTCCTGCCTTCACGGTACCCTAAACCCTAAACCCCAAACCCTAAACTCTAATGCCCTAAACCCTAAACCCTAAACCCTAGACCCTAAACCCTAAACCCGAAACCCTAATGCCTAAACCCTGAACCCTAATGCCCTAATGCCCTACACCCTAAACCCCTCTAGGCCCTAAGCCCTCAACCCTGCCTCCAGGACCCGAAAACGGGGCTGTCTCCAAGGTGGCTCCTCGACCTATCAAAGCCACCCGTAGTACGGCGACTCTTGTTGTCGATCATTGCGCCGGACAGGGGAGACAGGAAGAGACACTTATGAGGGTTTAGGGTTTAGGGTTTAGGGTTTAGGGTTTAGGGTTTAGGGTTTAGGGTTCAAGTTAAACCTAAAAACCCTAAACCCTAAATTGCTTAAGTCCGAGTAGAGCAGGCTAGGCTGGGAAGCTTCTTGCAAGAGTCGCTGCAAGCCTGAAGGCGTTTATTCATCGATCATGAGGCCGGTGAGCTTCGAACACGGGGGCGTGCGTTCGGTCGCCCCCCCCGTCGGTTGCCTCCCAAACCCGAAACTGCTGAAACAACCAGAGCAATCGTCAAACCTCTCTAAACCCAGGTGCCGTAGAGCCTTCCCAGAAAGTAAGCTTGAACTTCAAGTGCAACTCAGGCTTAGGGCTGCAACTCGGGTCTAGGGCTGAAAGATTAGGATTACGGCTTAGGGGTTAAGGTTTAGGGTTTACGGATTGCAGGCTTAGGGGTTAAGGTTTAGGGTTTTTGGGGCAGTGTCCACAGAGGGTCCCTTTGAGGATCCTTTTTGTAAGGGGGCCGGACTACTTTGCGACCTAAAAAGGCGACCCTACTTTAGAGAACTACCCACATTTACTTCGAGATACCCCAAGACTCTCTCATGAGTATTGAAGCCCCTAAGCCCTACACCCTAAACCCCCATAGTACGCGTCACACTTTGGGTAATTAACTAAGCCTAATTTAGAGACCCACCCAAACATAGATCGAGATTCCTCAAAACTCAAGGGTGCCGTACTATGACCCTACCTTACCCTAACCCCTGAACCTGAAAAAATACGCCCGTCCGAGCCCCACGTGGTGGAAGCTTTTGGTAATTATCATCCTAGCTTTGGTATTTGGGGTTCAGAGCTGAAGATACACTTCAAGGTTGCGCTCATGTTCGAGAATCACTGATCATTGGGGCGTGGGTGCCCGTGACGTTTGGGTCTTCGATGCCTACACCCGAAACCCGAAACCCTAAACCCTAAACCCTAAACCCTAAACCCTAAACCCCTAAACCCTAAACCCTACACCCTAAACCCTAAACCATGCCAAAAGCAGACCTCCGCTTCACTGCTTGAACTTTAGGCTTTTGCAGCCTGACGTACCCTGAACTCTAAACTCTAAACCCTAAACCCCTAAACCCCTAAACAGCGGCAGCAAGGTGGTTCCCCAATATAGCCCTAACTTACCCTAAACCCCTAAACAGCGGCATCATCACACCCCGGACCCCAAACCCTAAACCCGGAAAAGACCGACACACGCGCGCCGGGGTCGTTTTCCCACTGCAGGCTGAAACCTCTTGAGCCTCCCCGCAGAGGCCCTCATACTAAAAAGGGGCCTTTGATAATTTTAATAGGGTTCGTGTAAAAGGTTCCTTAACAGGTGTACTACAGTATAAGGGCTACTATAAGGATTCTATAATGTAGGGGCCTTTCATAATCAGAATAGGGTTTTGGGGTATACTATACTAGAATTATAACAAGGAGCCCCAAAAATTGTATAGGCAATTGTTAAGGCCCCCATAGCAGCTGCGTCATGGCACGCCCACGACTAAGAAAGCCTTGTAAACTGTGATCAGCTGCGCATCAGCCGAAACCCCCGTGCTGGGGAAATTGACAAGATTGCTTGTCGGAACAAAGCCTGCGAATGTGCACAGTGCAAAGCACCCTACGACTTCTTCATAGCCGCTTTCCGCACCGATTTCTTCGCTGTCCTCCCCTTCTTTGTGGTGGCCACTTTGCGCTTGCCAGCATTGGAGAGGCAGATCGCCTTGTTGCCCTAAACCCTAAACCTTAAATCCTAAGCTCTAAACCCTAAACCCTAAATCCTAAACCCTAAACCCTAAACCTTAAACCCTGAACTCTAAACCCTAAACCCTAAATCCTAAACCCTAAACTGAAAACCCTGGCAGATCGCCTTGTTGCGGGTCATGCTTTTGATCTTCCCGACGGCCCGGAGTCGCATGGCGCTCCAATCCTTAGCGGCTGAGTACGGTTTAGGGTATAGAGGTTTAGGGTTTAGGGTTTAGGGTTCAGGGTTTAGGGTTTAGGGTCTAGCTTGACCCTGCTTTTGGCAGGGAGGTATGTAGAACGTAAACAAACATACGAAGGAACCCTTGGAGAACGATTCTGGTACCCCTCAAGGGACTCTTACTTCAGCCTTGCCTCATACCCCCCCCTCCCCACGGTTTAAAGGTTACCCGAGCCATCCTCTGAGGATCTGCGTCCAGGGCGATGAGCCGGACCTGTTCGAAGTTGAACTTGCCGAAGGCTTTGAAACTGCCATCTCTGCCCACATCCTGGGCTTTAGGGTTGAGGGTTTCAGGGTTTTGTTCGGGAATCCAGTTCAAGAGTTGAGGGTTAAGGATCTAGGCTTTTTGGTTTAGGCGTCAGGGGTCTATGCTTTAGCTGCAAAAAGAGAGCGTTCCCCGAACCAGAACCCAGCATCAGACGCATATTTCTTCGAAGTCTTCTTGGGATAAGCGATCCAAAGCATTCCATCCTGGCCCGCTTTCCGCACCGCTGACTTTGCCAGCTTATCTATTTCCTTGCAGCTCTTCACAAAATACCTGGGGATCTTGTGCGGAACCAAACGTAAGATAGCATCATAGGGATATAGTTTCGAATAAGAGCAAGTAGAAGCCATAACAGTCAGTAGCCTAGACCCTAAACCCTAAAGCCTAAAGCCTAGACGCTAAACATAACTGGCACAGAACCGTCAGTAACCGAGATACAGAGCGGCAGACGGCAGATCTTTCTTGGCCGCCCCTGCCTTTTTCAGAAGCTCCTGCTTCAGCTTCATGAACTCCGGAGGAGCACCCTGGGTGCTTGTGAAGGAAGGCTCAAGAGTTCGGGGCTTACAGTTTGGGGCTTAGGGTTCAGGCTTTAGGGTTCGGGGTTTAGGGTTTAGGATTCAGGATTTACCGTTTGGGGCTTAGGGTTCAGGGTTTACGGTTGGTTGGTTAGGGTTCAGGGTTTACGGCTTAAGGATTAAAGGTTCAGCGTTTACGGTTTAGGGTTTAAAGGTTCAGACCCTAAACCCTAAACCCTAAACCCTAAAGTTCAAGGTAAGGTTAGGATTATTTCTTGGGGTTCTGGGTGTGGATGGAGGTCGAGGCTGGGGGCTTTCTACGCTTTGGCTTAGCTCCGGCTAACTGAGAAGTAGAGGCTCCTTGGATCCACAGTGAACGCGGTGTAGTTTAGGGTTTAGGGTTTAGGGTTTAGGGTTCAGGGTTTAGGGTTTGTACGATAGGGAGGTAAAGCGAAAAGAAACAACACGTCTTCATGCGAAGCTCCTTAACTCTCTCAACCCAATAAACCCCGATCACCCTATAAACCCTAAACGCTACAAACCCTAAACCCTATACCCTATAAACCCTATACCCTAAACCCTATAAACCCTATGAACCCTATAAGCCCTATAAACCCTATACACCCTATAGACCCAAAAAAACCCTATAGACCCTATGAACCCTAAAAACCCTAAACCCTATAAACCCTATAGAACCTATAAACCCTAAAAACCCTATAGACCCTATGAACACTAAAAACCCTATACACCCTATAAACCCTATAGAACCTATAAACCCGAAAAACCCGATAGACCCTATGAACCCTATAAACCCTATAAAACCTGTAGAACCTATAAACCCTATAAACCCTACAAACCCTATAAACCCTATAAACACTATAAACCCTATAACTCCTATAGAACCTATAAACCCTATAAACCTTATAAACCCTATACACCCTATAGACCCTTTTAACCCTAAAAGCCCTAAACCCTAAATGACGCGCACCCAGTATCCGACACGCTGAGTTTCATGCCAGGCTTAAGCTGAAGCTTCTGGAAGAGGCCCGCCATCTCTGCCGAACGTGCGCCGAGTTAAAGGAAACTACAGGTGGGGAGCTTAGGGTATATAGGGCTTCTATAAGGCTTCTATAAGGTATATAGGCCTTCTATAAGGCTGCTAAAACGGTAACTCCCCACCTGAAAATGTCCTAGACCCGGTCTTGAAAACGTGCCACGGCTAAGACCTGCGGGAGCCAATGGGCAGCAGCAAAGCCAAGAGGTGTCGTCACTGCGATGGCGCGGTTCACTGTTGCTCTGGGAATCACGGTGGGCTCAGGAACACCACAGATATGATACTCACGGACACCATAGACACGATAGTAGTGCTGGCAACAAACCATTAGAATAGAGTTTCGCGGTATCTCGTAGTATAGTTGCAACACGGAACCTTAAGGAATAATATCTGTAATTGTGCAGGCTTGTATATCAATCACCGTGTTCATGCTGATACTATCACAAGCATTGCCTCGGTCTCCAGTGACCCCTTCAACTAGCGTCCAGTTTCACTCAGGAAAGCCGAAATAGACAGGGCAAAAGCAAAAGCTTACTAGTTGGGGGATCTAGTCACAGCAACTGTGGACATAATTCTTGCATCGTCGTGATGGCAACGAGGACGCGGGAAGCAAAGAAGGAGAAACAGAGGGAAGGCTTTGCCGGCGTCGGGGTTCAGGGTCCAGGGGTCCAGCGTAAACCTTACACCCTCAGGCCTAAAGTCGAGACCCTGAACGGGTTTAGGGCTTAGGGTTTAGGGTTTTGCAGTTTAGGGCTTAGGGTCTAGGGTTTTGCAGTTTAGGGTTTAGGGTTTAGTTTAGGGAAGTTTAGGGTTTAGGGTTTAGGGTTTAGGGTTTAGTTTGGGGTTTAGGGTTTAGGGTTTAAGGTTTAGGGCTAAATCCTTGCAAGTCTTAAGTCTCAGGGGTAGGAGTCGTCTCTGAACGATTCGGGGCTGATGGGTTGACCTGTTCCAACGGGGGTCTGGCAGTCCTGTGCCCAACCAAGCGCAAGTACCACGGTTCAGGGTTTAGGGTTTCGGTTATCCTGTATAGTCCATAATACTCGATCATAGCGTACATAAACGAATCTGCGCATGTGTATATATACATGTAAGTTTGTACACATTTGCATGTGTATATACAGCACACGTACTTTTAAACGGTTGTTTGCTTATGAATATATTTACTTATATTTTCTTATCTATTTATTGATACATTTAGTTGTTCTATGAACTGTACGCAAGAACGACAACAAGACGGCCTTTCGGGGGCAGCCGCACTCAAACATCAAGCTCCTGCAAGGCGGACGAGTGTGTAACAGGGCTTAGGGTTTCAAGGTTGCGGATGTAGGGTTGCTGGGAGAGAGTTGACGGTTTAGGGTTCAAAGTGGAGGGTTTCAGGGCCTATGTGCATGAAGAAGCACTCACACACTGGGGCATGCGCCGGGGTCATTTGCAACTTCCCCTAGCCACTGTACTACTGACTGACAAGATGGTTCCATTCATTGACGCACGTTGACTCTTTCGGGGTAATGTAGGGGCCTTAATAATCAGAATAGGTTTTGGTGTCCTTTATAATGTATATATTTAATGAGGAACCCAAAAACAATATAGGTAATTATGATTGAGGCCCCTATCTTATGTCTTCGTCAACAACCGATATATGGAACCTTGAGGAACACGATCGGGGTTTAGGGTTTAGGGTTTAGGGTGGTAACCGTTTATGTCCATCTAATTTGCTCATCTCCCGTGTGGCTATGACAGATCCTGAGCTATATTCTTGGCAAGGAACCAAAGTTCAGTCAACATTACGAATGCAAAAGACACGTGCACTGACATGGCGAGAAGTTGAGATGCTCGAACGGAGCCCGGTACAACAAAAGACTGTATCGCTTTACCAATGCCGTCTAAAAAGCCTACAGCAACCCTGTTAAAACTCCTGACAAACACCCCATACAACCCTGCAGACCCAGACCAATACACATATACATGCAACAAATGTAATAATATGCTATTCTGCTACAATACAAATAGTGTATTACATATATATATATATATATGTATACATATACATATACAGGTATAGATGCTGTTTGTCTGTTTTACATATGTGTGTATGATATAGGAGCTTCTGCCTCCCTCCATTCTCCTACCACGCAGGCCGAGACAGGCAGACCGAGATCGACACAGACAACCACTGCAGGAAAGGAATGCTTTTGTGATGTAGGATTTAGGGTTTGCGGTTTGGGGTCTCGGGTGTAGGGTTTCGGGTCATGCACACTACCTCAACAAGACCTATTCAGAATGCACCTGGCAGGGTTCCTGTCGTATGCCCTCATCAGGCACAATGCCGAGAAGAGAAATCCCACTCAGATTTTGGAACTAGCAGAACCCTCTCTTGTATCAAGCCTTGTCGAAGAAATCACATGCAGAAGCTGTTTGTCAGCTCGACGGAAACAGAGGTTCATGCCTTAAAACGGCTTGCTTGAATTGAAGACTGTAGCTGCATGCTGGCCCCTGCAACGCCACCTGAGTGCTTCGCAACTGCGGCGCCATCTGCAAAGGGCATCATGCCAGGTACTACGGGCAAGTTGAAAGCGATATGGCACAACCGCCTTACTTCTCGAGTAGCAGAGCTCTTGGCTGCAACCTGGGCAAATTCCTATAGTGGCTGCCGTGCTTCTCATCCAGGCCGATGTCCACAACCCAGTGCACATACGTAGCCAGTCCGTAGGTCGATAGCATCCTCGGCTCTTCCCACGGAACTTAATTCGGTCTAGGGTTTAGGGTTTAGGGTTTAGGGATTCAAGTTAACATAATGTAGGGGCCTAAATACTTACCAATACTATTTGGGGGGGGGGGTCCTTATGATGATTCTGATACAATATACCCCCAAAACCCTAGTCTAATTATTATTAAGGCCCATATATAGATCAGGAAACCCTACGTATGATTTACTATAGATCGCTCCGGTATTGTCGCCCTAAGCCCTAAACCCGAACGTCAGCTCCTAAACAAGACCCCAGCATCAGGGAGGCGGCCCCGGTGCAGAAAGCCAGCATGCTCCGAAGGCTGAAAGCCTGGGTTGTTGTTAATACGGTTTAGGGTTTAGGGTTTAGGGTTTAGGGTTTAGGGTTTAGGGCTTAGGGTTTAAGTTAAGGAACTTAACTCCTAACCCCTGAACCCCTAAACCCCTAAACCCCTAAACCCCTAAACCCCTAAACTCCTAACCCCTGAACCCCTAAATCCCTAAATCCCTAAACCCTAAACCCTAATGGGGCGATATGAGGGTTCCCTTTGCTATAAAGGTTCCTTTAAGGGCTTAGGGTTTAAGTTCCCACAAAGGGCATATAGAGTAAATAATAGGGCTTGCGTAATTTTCCCAATTGGGGTCCCTTGTAGGATCCTTTTCATAAGGGTGCCGTATTCTTGTTGGGGACCCAAAAAGAGACCCTATCTTTAGCGAACTACCCAAGTTGCTACAATAAGGAAACCCTGTTACTTACCAGAAATCCCCTGTATGGTAACCCTAAACCCTAAACCTTTGACCCTAAACCCTTAACCCTAAACCCTAAACCCTTGACCCTAAACCCTTAACCCTAAACCCTTAACCCTAAACCCTTAACCCTAAACCCCTCAAACCCTTAAAGGAACCCCTTGGTTTAAGCTCCTTAAACCGCCACCCAGAAGCCCAGGCATAGGCGCTCAAGCACAAGGACAAAGGCGCCTCGAAGCTTCCTGGGCTCTTTTCGGGCTTAGGGCTTAGGGCTCTGGGGTTTTAGGTCTTTTTTGTTAGGGCTTTGGGTTTAGGGCTTTGGGGTTTTAGGTTTTTCTTGTTAGGGTTTAGGGCTTAGGGTTTAGGGCTTTGGGGTTTTAAGTTTTTTTTTCGGGCTTAGGGTTTAGGGCTTTGGGGTTTTAGGTTTTTTTGTTAGGGTCTAGGGTTTAGGGCTTTGGGGTTTTAGGTGTTTTTTGTTAGGGTCCAGGGTTTAGGGCTCTAGGGTTTTAGGGTTCTTTTCTTTTTAGGGTTTAGGGTTTAGGGCTTTGGGGTTTTAGGTTTTTTTTGTTAGGGTCTAGGGTTTAGGGTTTAGGGCTCTAGGGTTTTAGGTTTTTTTTTGTTAGGGCTTAGGGTTTAGGGCTTTGGGGTTTTAGGGTTCTTTTCTTTTTCGGGCTTAGGGTTTAGGGCTTTGGGGTTTTAGGTCTTTTTTTTGTAAGGGTCTAGGGTTTAGGGCTCTAGGGTTTTAGGGTTCTTTTCTTTTTAGGGTTTAGGGCTTTGGGGTTTTAGGGTTCTTTTCTTTTTAGGGTTTAGGGTTTAGGGCTTTAGGGTTTTAGGGTTCTTTTCGTTTTAGGGTTTAGGGTTTAGGGCTTTAGGGTTTTAGGGTTCTTTTCGTTTTAGGGTTTTGGGCTTAGGGTTGAGGGTTTTAGGGTTTTAGGGTTTAGGATGTAGGGTTTAGGGCGTAGGATTTTTGTAAGGAGCTGAATGGAGGTACTAAAATATGGATCGGAGTGGTTTATTTAAGCTGCCATAATTTAGCTGTCTATCGTAAATACTAGGGTTCATCCTTTATTTGCGAAAATTAAGGTTCTATCGTAAAAAACAGGGTTTCCTTGCTCTAGTAACTGAAACCTACGCCCCTTAACAAAAAGGAGCCAAGCTTCGCTCGAATGCCAGAAGCTGATATAAGCCATCTGTCGTGACGCCTCGACGGATAGACTCGCGAGCTTCGTCGTGCAACTTTGCGAATTGGCCACCCAGGAGCTCGCAGACGAATGCCTGGGCTCGTGCTCAGAACCTAAACCCTGCACTGTTGTAGTACCTTAAACTAATAGTTTAGGGTTTAGGGTTTAGGGTTTAGGGTACTAAGTTCCTTAACAAGAGCCCAGATGCAGCGGTGGAGATGAAGATAAGGCATGCTGCAAACTTAAACTGCAGGGCGTACAAGAGATTGAAGGCGCTCATGGAGTCAAGGAACACGTCTGCAGTAACCACCGAGACCTGGGTTTAGGGTTTAGGGCTCATGGAGTC